GCTCGTTCTAACACGCCCCCACATATCTACCTCACTATGTGGAAATATTTGCATAATGCGGCCCAAATGTGCACGCAAAGAAAGAAGGCGTGGTTTCAGGAACAGCAGTAGTGTTGATGCAGCCATGTCAGTGCGAAAGACAGATTTCAGCTGTCTTAACCGCGGCTTGTGTACTGCATCATCACTGTGTCTGTGACGCGACTCTGTTGCCCTTTCGGGCTTGAACTGATGGTAAAACTAACGACATTATTAACTGTCTTGATATTTACTTTGAAAGCTGAAGCGATTGTGGTAAGGGGCGTTACATTTCTGACGCGTGCTTGTGGTTTTTCGGCCAATCACAATGCACTGGGTTAGCTGGCCAATCAGAGCAGACTGCGCTTGTCACAGGAGGGGACTTTGTAGAAAACGAAGCTTTTGAGAGAGGCAGGGCATAGAGCACCTACAATAATGTACAGTATTTGAAAAATAATGTGTTTTTTGAACATTAAAGCATGTCAACATATTCTGTTACACCAAATACACAAAATAATGATCTTTAAAATAGCATCATATGACCCCTTTAAGATACATATGTAAGGGAGAAGGCCATGTGACACAAAAGATACTGAATGGAGGTTCAGAACTTTCAGAAGGTTCAGAAATTGAAGTCTGGAGCATTTTTATATTTTGTTTAAAACAAACAATCCAAAAGCTCTCATCATGAGCAGAATAAAAAATGTATGTTGTCCTTCCTTGCTACAAATAATTTCCCCAATTTTAACAATTACGTGTTTATTTTAAAATGCTCTTAACATACTGATTAATAATGCTAAATGTGGATGAAGAAAATATCCTGTCACAAACCTGGTTTGAAGGGTCAGAGTCATATAGGTAAAAATAACTATATTTGCAGCATTGTTGTTTTCTGCAGTGTTTTAGCAAAAGTATCAATCTATTTTGCTGCTCACCGTGTTCCTGCTAGTGTACACTCTTAAAAATAAAGGTTCCAAAAGGGTTTTCACAGAGATGCCATAGAAGAACCAGTTTTGGTTCCCCCCCCCCAAGAACCTCTCAGTGAACAGTTCTTAAAAGAACCATTTTTTTTCTGAGTGTGAATAATAATTGAATAATCTAAAGAACCCTTTTCCACTGTAAAGAACCTTTTGTGGAATGAAAAGGTTCCGTGGATGGTAAAGATTCTTTGTTAAACCATTGATACCAATAAAGAACCTTTATTTGTAGTCAAAATAACCACATCATCTGTAGCTCTTATAGTGATTTACGTCTCTGAAAAGGGTTTGAATGAAGCATGTTTGGTTCTAAATAAAGATATACAGTAACGCTGAAAGATCATCATAAACGACCTGAGCGTTGTGGTGTGTACAGATCCGTTGTTTTGACATCCTGCTCACTTTAAACTGCGGAAACGGTAAAACTGTAACTGTGAAATAGTGCTGCCATTGACATTCTGAACCAGAACGCGGACCGCCATTTGAGGACCCCTGCTTTAGATGATTAAAATGTTCAGCACACTAAGAAAAAATGGTTCTTTTGAGAACTGATCACTGAAAAAACTAAGTATTTTTGAGGAACTTCTTCTATGGCATCACTGTGAAAAACCACCTTTTTGGAACTTTAAAGAACATTTTATGGAATTAAAAGGTTCCATGAATTTAAATGTTCTTCATGAAACCGTCAATGCCAATAAATAACCTTTATAAGAGTATAGTACAAAGCAATTCATCCTCGAAGTTTAAAAATGTCATAGGACAGTAAGTGCTTGGACGTTTCTGGACTCAGCTGCTCAGAGGAAGCTCTTCTATGATCACGCGGGAAACAGAATTCCAGCCGGTGGAAGCGTCTCCGTGCGGATAGTCGCCGCAGGTTCCCACCCAGATCGCAACATCCACCAGGCCTTTCCGCACTCCTTCACATAAACCTTCAACTGAAACAAACAGACGGCGTGTCAGTCTGACCATTTCTCACTGTGTCCATCTGATAACTCTGCTCTGGTTCTCAGATGACCATCTCAAGGCTTCAGGTAAAAAACCATTCGAAAAACAGAGATAAACAGACATGCTTTATTGCACCCTGAGGGGGAATGAGAAATTCAGAGACACCCTTATCTGCTGTAATTAATCCACACCGAACTATTTGCAGTGTTTAGAGCGGAGAGCTTTTCAAATACTTGCTCTGTAGCACAAGAGCCATAAAAGGCTTTCATTGAGTGTTTTATTTATCATGCATCACTGTTAATGGACCACCGGCTTGAACTTTATATTACAGGTCAGTACTGAGGGAAAAACAGCATGGGTCATTCTACACAAGCCTGCCTTTAGTGCTCCTCATTAACATATGTATGGCATAATGGGCAAACCGACTGTCATTATCGCAAAATAAACCTAAACTCCAAATATCCTGTGTCATCCTGAAAGGCGTAATTCTGCAAAATGATCAGATGCTTATTATTATACATGTTTAAAATATTTTACAAATTTATAAAAAAAACTTTGCTGAAATAGAAAATATATTTTAAAATTATTCATTTATAATGATTGAATAATTAATATTATTTTAATAATAATATAATATGAATATTCAGGTGAAGCATATATATAATTCATTTTTTATACTGAATATTTAAGAACTTTGTAGTTGTTTAAAAATTAATATAAATAATATTCAATAAACTATATGGATGGATTTATTTATTTTTTCTTATTTTTTATATTATTATAATTTTATATTTTGTATAATTGTATATAATTATATTATCATAATTTTAAATACTGAATATTAAATATATATAACATAATTGTTATAATTTGTATTTTATTTACATATTAATTATTAATATAAATATTAATATATATATATATATATTTTTATAATTATAAAATATGTTATATAATAATGTTCATTGCTGTGTGATGTGTCC